TTTTCATTCTCACCACTAATCTTCCACCTCCCAATTCCATATCCACATGTAAACAATTATGCAGCAGCCCTCCACCAATAGGAATGCGACACAACCCTTATCATAGCCAGCACCCTATCCACATTTGCACTCATTACTCACTTTGAGATTGATCATAGGACCTACACCACATATCACCAGATGTGTGGAGGTTGGGTGGGAAATGTACATCAGAAATATATTTTCAGCTTAGGAAAATGTTAACTTCCAATACTATATCTTACCTCTTCTCACAAAATAGCTAGAATCCCACATTGAACTGAAAGAAGGCTGGTGAAAAAAGGATCCCTCTTTTATGTAGCCCCCAAAGAGAGACCTCAAGGTGTGGAACCAAAATAGAAATTATCACACCTCAATGGGAGACCACATCATATCTGATCCAGATATACTCTTCCTTCTTTTATGACTGTGTCGCAAACATAAAATGCAGATAAACATGAAGGAATCCCATAATACGTACTACCTATTAATGGGACCCATGGATGTCGAGTGTCTATTGGTAGTTCAACCTCATTAAACACCTGGCAGTATCTGGAATTGTATATCAGTTTGGCAGTAGGCAGAGGATCACCTACCTCTTCATCTTCAAACAGGAATTTGGAAGGGTAGACGAGCTTCCATACCAAAATCCATCTTCATTTGCACATATTTCCAACCCAACTAACACCTGATCCACCACGAACCAATGGTAGGAAGGTGGAAAGCCCCAGTGGGATGACACCTGCAGTCCCAAACCTGGAGTAATTGGGTATGTTTCTTCCAGTCTGTTTGTAGGAGGTGGTTATCCAACCATACACAAGTGGGAATACATGTGCTGCATCCAGCTACAACCAACACCAGATCTGCTGGGAACTGACATCCAGCAGATGGTAAGAAGATGGACAGCAAACCTAGTGTGCATCTCCAGTCCAAAACCTGGTGGCATTGGCCATTTTTCATCCAATCTATGGTAGGAGAAGGGATACCAGCCAGAAAAGGCGAGGACTTACTTAGCTGGATTACCTCCAACTAACACCAGACCCCCATTGGAATCACATCCGAAGAACAGTACATAGGAGGAACATCTTAGCCTGAGTAGTAGACTGCAATATATATATATATATATATACATATATATGTATAGTCATGACATGGTAGATTGCTTCAACAAAATCCTGGCAGCATCTGGAACTGTACATCAGGTCCATGGTATGAAGGGCACAATGCCATCGACACATCATTTCAATTTTGACCGAACCATCTCCAACCAACACCACACCCATCAGGAATGTACATCTGGTGAATGGCAGGAAGGAGGAATGCCACAGTGGGAAAAAGCAATCTGCCATATATATAGATATATATATTAATATGTAGTGCTACAACCAAAACTTAGTTCTATCTGGAATTGTACATCAGGTCCACAATGGGAAAAGTCTCAACACTACAGAGCATCGGAGATGGGCACTAATCCTTGTATACTTTACTCATAAGTGATTATCCATAAGTGTATGGTTTGGGACAAACATATTTATGAAGCAAAATACCACAAGTGGTCCTACAGAATATCCCACTTTGATTGTGTGCATAATCTAATCATGAGACATAACTGCTTTGGCATAGATGACAACTGAACAGACACACAACCAACACCTGGTTGCATATGGAATTGTACATCAGCTCTACAATAAGAAGGGTCTCCATGTCACATTCATCTAACATGGTCACAGCTCATACAGTGCAGATTTAAGACTAAGTATACCTGATCAGGCACCACTCACCACAGAGTAGGATCCACAATACATCCGTAAAAAAGCCTCTGTAAATAAAGAAAACGAAAGCATAGTAGTCATCAGTCATAACGAAACTGTGGTGTATAAGATAGTGACTGGAGCTAAACAAAACCTAGCTGAGCAAGAAACAGTCCACATGATGTAAATTGTTTT